ATAATGCATAGTGAATGACATGTGATTGAATGAACTGTATGACTGTATGATTTTCGACGAGTTTTGATTTTAATTCGATTTGATTTGAATTTTGATTGGATGGATTTGTTTTGTATCGATTTTGCATTCGAACACTTAAGGGAAATGTCGGGGACGACATTTTTCTTAAGGTGGGTAAATTGTAAAACTCTTCAGAAGTTCATTTTTTTAGTGTTGTTAGTCCGTAAGAACTGACTTTAGTACATGACGAATTGAAGAAAATCTATATGGTTAGTATGTACGAAGTGCCTGTACGAACTGAATAAAGTACAGGTTCGTCCGTACGAACCTGAGATCATCCGAGACGAAATTTCTCCCGAGAGCATCGTCGAGGGACGAAAGAAACTGGAATTAATTTTCGCTTGTATGATTTTTGTCCAGAGAGTTTTGTCCCAGGACGAACGAAAGACATCGTCGGGACGATCCAGTTCATTAAATAGAAATTTTGAGATATTTTTTAAGAGAGAGAAAGCTGGAGAGAGAAAGATAAGGAAGAGAAGGAAAATGCTACGGTTTCGGAGGCCGCGGAGCGATTTTCACCCGTCGACGCAGTTGAAAGATTTGTTTGTCTCGAAGTAAGGAATCCGAATCCTATTTCTGATTTCGAAGATATTGAATTTTGGTATTTTTCTGCTCAGTTTTGTGTTTCCGTTACCGAAATTCTTACATATCTTTGTATTGACGAAACTTTTACCGCATAACTTTTGGTATGTTATAGAAATGATGATTTTGCACGTTTTGAGTATTTTCTGGAAATTTTTCATAGAATATTTTGAATTATTTTAAATTTTTATCGAATACAAAATTATCCGGATGTTGAAAAATATTCCTTCAGTACAAGTAAAGTCTTGAAATAATGTTTTATCTGATTTCTAGTAATTTAGTAATTTTCTGAAACTGTGTATTTTAATCATGTTTAGGATTTCTGTCGTTTGTACGATATTTTAAGGATTTTCTTCGATTGAGTTAAATCGTATTTGTTGATTGCAATGCATTAAAGAGGTGTATATGAATATGAATATATGATTGAAATACTGTTATATTACTGAAAGACAAGTAAAGATTGGTTGAACCGTTGGTTGGAGACTGATTGACCTGTACATGATGGTAGGCCGACGGGCTTTTCTTTAAATACGATTTGGTGTTATCCTCTACTGATCATGTGATTACTGACGGGAGTTATAAGGAAATGATTACTGTACCGACTGGCAAAGAGTTACGACTCTTTTTACTGAGTCAACGGATACAAGATATAAGATACTGAAACTGATATAAAACTGAAAAATACCGTAATAGCCATGACTTTTACCTGTTGAGTATGCTGTTGAGTATGATTACTGAAGTACATGTGTTTAATTACTGTTCTTATTGTTATTGTATAGATTTACTGTTTCTGCATGATTTTACTATCCTAGCATTATTGTTCATGTTACTGGATTGTTACTGATACTGATACAGGCACTAATACTACTGATTCATTGTACTGACATTATGCACGTGATATACTGAAAAAGTGACATGTGATTCATTGAACACGTGATATAGATTATTGGATTGCATGTGATTCACTGAGCACGTGATATTGGATAACTAAATTACAAATGTATGTTTTGATACGATTCTACGGCATTGATTGATTTTATTTCATTGCTTTGATTTCAACAATCACGAACGATAGTACTGATTTGACGTTTTATACCGACTGGTATTATTGAACCGATGAATTCTCTTTATATGATTGATATTATTGACATAATGATTTATTGACTGATTTGATTGGTATTACGATACGAATTTTTTTTTTATGATTTGATTGAAATTTTAGATACGATGATTTGTCTACTAAATTGACTGGTGTTATAGATACGACGACTACTGCAGAGATTTGATACACGTATTGATTCATTGAGCTTTACGAACTTTTATACTATTTATTGATTCTTCCACTGATAATGATGGCTTCACATGTTCCTGTATTGATTTCTATTATTGTACTGATTACCGTTTATGCATTGATTTCTGTCTATGCATTGACTCAATGATCATGTGTAACTGACTGCTATAATTTGACTGATTGACATGCATATTGCTTCCGTACCGTGCTTTGATTTCAGTTGTAGGTATTAGGTGACCTGTTGGGCTTTTGAAGTTCATTATATGTGGTTAATATTTTCAGGTCAGGGCAAGGGAGCAGGAGATTGAGGTTGATCAGGAATCTTCAGGTTTTTAATCTTCAGGTTTTTGTCCTTTTGTTATAGTGATTTTTTTTGTACTCAGGACAGGATAGATTACATGTGATTAATATGTAGATCCTGAGTATTGTAAATGAACTTTTGAGAATGAATAGAAATATGTATATTGATGTTTTAAATTATAGATTTTGTTATACTATTTATCACTGATTGATGACTATAGATAGCTCTGGTAGAATATTGACTTAAAGGATCGACTGAATAATTCTTCCAAGTCAGAACTTGGGGCGTCACAATTTAGTGGTATCAGAGCAGTGTTATTGGAAGAATTGATTGTTATCAGGTCTATAGTGGCTATGGGATTTGTAAAAACGGGTCGGGTTGACTCGAATCGGAATAGTGCAAGGTCAATTCCCGATTCGACCCGAACCCGACCGTGACCCAAAATTGACACCCCTAATTACTTGTGTTCAAACACAAGGTGGTTTGACCAAGTATTTCCCTATTTCAGTTGAGTTACATCAAGGATCAACCTTAAGCCTATATCTTTTTGCTTTAGTCATGGATGTTCTCACTAGACATCGATAAGAGGATGTACCTTGGTGTATGCTTTTTGTTGATGATATTCTTCTTGTTGATAAGACTAGAAAGGGAGTTGAAGGTAAACTTGAATTATGGAGATCAACCTTAGAGTCTAAAGGTTTTCACTTGAGTGGATCTAAAATGGAATATATGGAGTGTAATTTTAGTATAATAGACTTAGTGAGGGGATTGTGACTTTGGGCGATCAAGTCATTAACAAAAGCACAAGTTTTAGATATCTTGAATCTATTGTTCAAAGTGAAGGTAAAATGGATGGGGATATTATTAGTAGAATTCAAGTTGGGAAAGCAGGTAAACAAAAAAATGGCGGAGATGAACAGTGCGACGCCAATATTGACGTCACACTGTTCATCCGCGATCAAATGGCGGCAAAAATGGCGATCGGTTGGAGCAAAGCGAGAACGGCAAACAAGTGTTTGCCGTTCGGTTGGAGATGCCCTTAGAGAGAGTCGCCTTAGATGGTTTGGTCACATAAAAACAGTGGCCTTCCGATGACCCGGTTAGGAGAGTAGAGATAATAGATTTGACTTAAGTTAAGAAAGGTAGAGACAGACCTAAAAAGACTTGGTTAGAAAATATTAGAAATGACCTTTCTTTTTTAGATTTAAAAGAGAATTTGACCTTTAATCGGACACAATGGAGGAAAAGGATTCATGTAGCCAACCCCGTGTAGTGGGATAAAGGCTTGATGTTGTTGTTGACAACCTCGGCTAATATGAGTGTTGATCTTAGCTATGTTAGCTGCCCCGAATGCTCTAGCACTTTGTTTCACGAATGAAGGCCGTTTCGGTGATTTAGGTTTTTGGTCAACGCGTGTCGGCCGCTATTCCGCTTTTAAAACTTACCGCATACAGTCAATTCGACCCCGACATTAGAATTGAGGTCAATAGTTAAATGTTGTAGAGATGAGGTGGATGAGTGGCTTCACTCTTAGAGACAAAAAGCGAAACAAGTATGTATGTGAAAAGGTTGGAGTAGCTCTAGTGGCAGATAAAATTAAAGAGTCGCCTTAGATGGTTTGGACACACAAAACGTTGGCCTTTTGATGACACGATTAGAAGAGTAGATATAATGGATTTGGCCTATGTTAAGAAAGATAGACCTAAAAAGCCTTGGATAGAAAATATTAGAAATGGCATTTTTATTAGATTTAAATAAGAATTTGACTTTTAACAGGATACAATGGAGAAAAAGGATTCAAGTAGCCGACGGCGCATAGTGCGATAAAGGTTTGTTGTTGTTGTTGTAGTAATAGTAGAACCGATCGATTCTATAAAACCAGGATCAATTTGACGATTTTTCAGTTGAACCGGTTGTTCAAACAAGTTCAACATGAACTTGGTTCTCGAACCAAATCGGACCGATAACTTGACTAGTTTACGGTCAAACTAGCCAATTCGATCCAATTTTCAAAACACTAGCTAAAACTAATTTTTGAGGTAAGTCATCTCCATGTATTAACATTAGGCATGAATCCTCAAAGATTAGTGATCTCTTTTCTTTTTTCCTACATATCATTCAATGTTGATTTTTGTAAGCATTAATTATTTCAATCAAATTCATTACAATAGGATTTCTCGTTTGCGACGTGAATCTTTATTGACCTATGGTTTATGGTGGTTTCAATTTTTTGCTAAACTTTTTTCATTGGCATGATTATAAAATTTTTATTTGGTGTCAATTTATCATAGTTTCGAGTTGACATCAAAAGAGGACCAGATATTGTTTTAATTAGTGGTATTTAAAACTGCAAATTTCATATCCAATTTTTGCTCTTTCGTCTATTACATTATTTTGCTAAATTAGGAATCCTAGAACCTTAAGAAGTCCGGCATAAAAAATTAATAAAACGAAACAAAATGAGAAAAAAAAAATCTAGTACTTAGATGTTGTTAATTATGGATTAAATAATTAATATAGATTTATTTATTATCATTTCTTATTCCCAAACATATATATTATTCTGTGCTCCTAAAAAACAGGAAATAAGTAAAGCATACAAACGTATTTTTGTTATGGATGAAAAAAATGGAAAATAAAAAGAAAATTTAAAATCCAAACATGGCCTAAATCACTGAAGAATAATCATCTCCTCAAAGATTTAAGCCAACTGCTGTATATACAACTAGCTAAATAATTATCAAAATAAATAATGGATGGTCATACCCGTCTTCAGCAAAACTGTCCTCTATAGTTTCAGTTTCAAGTAAGTTTGGTTGCCCACCACCCTGATAAAGAGGATCTCCTGTTCCAATAGAAAAACTATGATTATTCAACATTGAAAACTGACATTTTTAATCAAATTTTGAGCATTTATAGTGGAATAAATTGGGTAAAAAATAAGAATATTATTGAAGAATGTCAGTACAACAACAACATCAAGCCTTTATCCCACTACGTGGGGTCGGCTACATGAATCCTTTTTCTCCATTGTGTCCTATTAAAAGTCAAATTCTCGTTTAAATCTAATAAAGAAAGGTCATTCCTAATATTTTCTAACCAAGTCTTTTTAGGTCTACCCCTACCTTTCTTAACACAAGTCAAATCTAATACCTCTACTCTCCTAACTGGGTCGTCGGAAGGCCGCCTTTTTATGTGACAAAAAAAGGATTTCAGTGAAGAGATTAAATATATTAACATTACAATGCTAGCATACATTCCATGGAGATCAAAGAAAACGCAATTCAGCGAAGAAAAAAATGTACTGCATCAATCTTTTGTGTGTTTTGCTTTAAATCAAAATCTGTCATTACGGATTATGAGACTTCAAACCAACATATGTTGATAACAAAAGGCAATCTCCTCAAGTACATTGTTACTTGATTACATTTTGATTTTTCCAAATCGATATTTTTTCTTCTTCATTTTGAATTTCCAATAAGCTCCAACCACTTCCTTATCTCCGTTTAATAAATCAGCCATTTCTCATGTAATCAATTGGTAAATTCTTCAAATTTCACAATTTCAGAGAAGACGAAAAAAAACCAAAATAGAAAAATTTGAATTATTTGAACATGTAAGAAATTATAACTATAAAATTAAGGAATCAATAATACTTATAAGGGCATATACTTTGTTCTATAATGATTTATATTGCTTATACTTCTAATCTTGTGCATTTACAATTTTGCTTATAAATATCTCTGAATTTTTAAATGAATTGGACAAATATTTAGTATTATTGTATGTTATCATTATTGATTTATCTTATAAAACTTTGTCCATTTACTCTGCAAAATATATCAGACTTTCAAGTTAGACATTTTTAATAAGGCCCTTGAGATTTTTTCTCTTCTTGAAGTTGGTTCAATTGATACCTGATAGCCTTGACTGGTATTTTGTTTTTGGTTATCTCATTTAGCAACGGCATGCAATTGATTCATGTTGCATTATTTCATTGACAGATAATAAAATTTGTTTTGCTTTAAAAAAATGTCCATTCATTCTTGATCAATGTTTCATGTTACTTATATTTCATGCATTCCTTTCTAATCCTTCAATGTTAATTGTATGTACCCGTCAAACATATAACATATAATTTTAGATTTAAATTTTGACCCTCAATGCTATTTTACTCCCAAATAGATAGCTTTCTTGGGTAAGCTTTACTAGAGAAAATTTACAACTAAAAAAAAAGTATTATTCAAATCTTACAAAACTACTTAAACAAAACAAAAATATCAACTGCAATTGCCAAAAATAAATAGAAATATCTGCAGTAAATTGATTTGCTCATTTCAAAGTCAATACTTCTTAGTAACAATATTTGTAGCAAAAACGCTCAATGTGAATTCCTTATTTGAAAGAACTAAAATGGACCTTTCATGGATAAGTTTCTAATGACGTGTTCATTAAAAAACTGGTTCAATCACATAAAGTTAGAAAAAATAGAATACTTTTAACTTGCCTACAAGTGGATGTCCTATGAATGCAAGATGAATACGAATTTGATGTGGGCGCCCAGAATGAATCTCAACCTGTTAAATGTCCACAATAGAGGGTTGGAAAATAATAAAATGAAAGTTATAATGCCAATCAGTTCGTCGGGAAAATAGAATGAAGTATGGCATCAAAATAGAAAAATATTAGTTACCTTTGATCAAGAAAATCATACACCACTTAAATAGAAAAGAAAAGCTCAGAATTAACAGGAAAAAATGAAATGAACTATTATGTAGTTCATCACATATCATAGTAAATAAAACACAACGTAACTTACAAATCAGTGATTATAAAGAGCAAAATCATAAGTAGAAACAAGCACAATGGATGAGCATTACAAAATGGCAAGTCAAATGTAACAATCAATAAGCTCCTTCGCACATGTCAAACAAAAGAAAGGTTGACTATATTCTGCATATACATTCTATATTTGAGCAACAACCTATCAAATCAGTCTTGGGGAAGAAAAAGCATTTCAAATTTAAAAATAAGGACAATGTGGCATTTCACCTCAGATTACTCATGGCTTTAAGCCTAAAAGAGTGAATCACATATGAAAGAAAAAAGATAAAGTATTAAGCATCCATAAGAACCCTAATAAGATTTTTAACTATATATGATAAGCCAAAAACAGAAACTGCGGGCATATTTAAAATAACAAGATTGCTTGTGCTTGGGTTACATTACACAAGTAAATAACCCATGAAATGCGAGGAAGTATATATATATATATATATATATATATATATATATATATATAGAGAGAGAGAGAGAGAGAGAGAGAGAGAGAGATTAAGCATTATATAATAATTTAAAAAATATTTAACAGTTTTAATATTCTAGATATTAGGTGCCATGTTGCATGGGGTTAATTTAAAAGGACAATATATTAACTCTTTTCTCTTCTTAATGAAGGCATAAAAGAACTTACAATACAATAAAAGAACTTCATTTTCAAATATTATATTATAAAGGTAGTAGACATTCTTCTATTTTCCCATTAAATATTTAATAATTAAAATTAATTTTAATCTTTTAATACTTAGCGAAGAGCTAATTATTTTCAAATTATGTCTTCACATTAATTAAAGAAAGAATGTTATTATTAGGAAAGATACGATATGTGATATAGAGATCAAATAGGATATTGATTAGATTAGACTAGATAGATGTGACTCGAAACATTTTTTTAGAAAACACACATTCACATTCAAAATAAAACTCTCATTCTTTTCAAGTCTGGGAAGGAACTTTCCAGACAACTTAATAATATTCGAACTTTCCAGACAACTTAATAATATTCCCGCGTTGCCTTCCATATGTAAGCTGTATTAAGAACAGTGAAAAAAAAAAAAATAGAAAATGTTAATATGGCAAACAGAAAAGGCATTGAATTTTATGGCTGTGGGCTCGGTTGAGAATTCTATGGCTGTGGGCTGCTTCATTCTTTCTGGTGGACTCTGAGGTCTTCTTTACAATCTCTACTTCCATGTATTGGCGACGTTGTGGAAAAACGAGCTAATAAACAACTTTAAGGTGTCATTAAAAGATCACTACCTACAAGAATAAGAAATAACTACTTTTCTTTACTGGAAAATGGAATATTTCCACTCCCTGTTTGCTAAATCCAATGCTCTCTAATCAGCCTTTTTTTAAGCATCGAGTTTCTATGTCTATGTAAGGAAAAGAATTTTTATTTTTGAAGTTACTGGAAGGCATTAGAATTTAATATGGTGCTATAGATCACTCCAAGTCTTATTCATCTGTAACAAAACAAACCATTAATTATCTTCTATCCTTTCTTCCTTTGCTTTTTCTCTAGGGGTTTTGCTTTCCATTCCCCTTAATGCTTTCTTCTCTATCTTGTGAAGGTTTTTTTTTTTTCCTCTTGAATATTAGAACATGAGAAAAAAAAAAAGCAGGGGGGGGGGGGTATTTAATAATGCTTATATTCAAGTCATTAAAGATATATATGCAGGAGCTGTTGCTTGTGTTCAAACACAATGTGAGTGAACACAAGGTGATTTGACCAAGTATTTTCCTATTTCAGTTGGATTACATCAAGGATCAACCTTAAGCCCATATCTTTTTGTTTTAGTCATGGATGTTCTCACTAGACATTTGCAAGAGGTTGTACCTTGGTGTATGCTTTTTGCTGATGATATCCTTCTTGTTGATAAGACTAGAGAGGGAGTTGAAGGTAAACTCAAATTATGGAGGTCAACCTTAGAGTCTAAAGGTTTTCGTTTGAGTAGATCTAAAACTGAATACATGGAGTATAATTTTAATAGTAATATATCTAGTGGTGGGTTTGTGACTTTGAACGATCAAGTCGTTAATAAGTATACTCGTATTAGATATCTTGAGTCTATTGTGCAGAGTGATGGTGAAATAGATGGGGATTTTATTAGTAGAATTCAAGTTGGATGGTTGAAGTGGAGGAATGCTTCGGGTTTGTTGTGTGATAGAAAAGTACCACTTAAACTTAAGGGAAAATTTTATAAGATGGTGGTGAGACCTGCAATGCTTTATGGTGCAGAATGTTGGCCATTAAAAGAGAAGCATAATATTAAGTTAAGTGTTGCAAAGATAAGGATGCTCAAGTAGATGAGTGGCTTTACTCTTAAAAACAATACAAAATGAGCATATACGTGAAAAGGTTGGAGCAGCTCCAGTGGAAGATAAGATTAGATAGAGTAGCCTTAGATGGTTTGGTTAGAAAAAACGGCGGCCTTCCGATGACTCAATTAGGAAAGTAGATGTATTAGATTTGACTTATTTAAGAAAGGTAGAGGTAGACCTAAAAAGACTTGGTTAGAAAATATTTGAAATGACTTTTATTTATTAGATTTAGATAAGAATTTGACTCTTAACAAAATACAATGGAGAAAAGGGATCATGTAACTGACCTCACATGGTAGGATAAAGACTTGTTGTTGTATGAACATTAGAACATGAAATGTATGTAAATTTAGGTACATTAGTTACAAGAAATAAAGTTAAAAAGGGATAGATGTTAGAAAGTTAGATAATATCTATCTTTAAATTTCCAAACTGGTTGATGCTTCTCCGAGCATTCTAAATCAATTGGAGTTTCTAAATCAAGGAATAGATTAATCTTAATGCAGGCGGGTTTGGGAGGTATGATTTCTGGTAAGATTCTCAATTTTGTTACTGTTTTTCCTCCTTGATTGGTAGATTCTTGATCAATATACATTTTTGTCTAGGCCATCCTTATCAAGACCTTTCTTTGACTATTATTTCTGGCCCTTACGATCAAGATAAATCATTTTTATGGATAGAACTACTTGATACAGATAAATCATTCTTTTTTTTTAAGGATGAAAGACATCTGAATTGCACGAAATTGTAATAACCTAAATTTCAGGTATGTTTACAAAATTTGTTTTTATTAATTAAATTCTAATTATGTTTAGCAATTAATTATTGGTAACAAATAAATTCTTGTTCTATTAATTAATAGGTTATTGTTAAAGAATTAAGTAATTAAAAGTTACTGTTAATATTAATAAACTATGGTTAATGTTTATACTACTATTAATCTAAAAATAAGTTATGTTAATTAGGCCTCTAATAAGATTCCCGTACTCCACTAGAACTAATATTATATTAATTAATATATGCTTACACTCAGCCACTCCCAAACAATGCATGCAACGGTTCAGATGAATGGGAAAGGATAAGCATTAGCAAATATTAGAGAAATACCGTAATCTACTATTCCATACGGTCCTTCAAGCAGCGGTTAGGGGGAGAATTTTTGTTGCGTGTGAAACGAAGGTGGGCAGGAGCACTAGAGCGGAAACAGTACAGATTTTCCTATATGAAGAATTGGCATATTACTCTGCTCTGAAGAAGATATGGGCATAGTGCAATGGGGGGATTCGGTAAGGTTGATTTTTGTAGCAGAGTTGGCTAGGAATTTTGGTTCAGACAAGGAATTCCTGTACAGAAACAACAGTTAGAGCCGAAATTTCCGTGAGAGCAGAAATTACAAAAGTGCAGGAAACCTAGAGGAAAATGCCTAGGAGAATTTCGGCACAGTTTCTGTAGCAGGAATAGGTCGAAGAATTCGGCATTTCCACTGTGCATTGGAGAGGTTTGGCATGCACAGAAATTTTCAATGAACAATAGTGCTTGGAAGGATTTGGAACAAGAATCAAAAGGAAGAGTAGCGATATAATAGAAGACAAAAGAAAGAAGGAAATTGAGGGAAGACGAAAGAGGTAAGCAAATTGTTAGTATGATGATGTTGTAGTTGTCTTTTAGATTTTTGTAAAGTTGATAATAGTTTCTAAAGCAAGCATATCAATTATATTTTTTAGGATTCATTGATTATATGCAGAAGGGAGGTTTTGAAGTTACTTATAATCGTAGAAGAAGGTGTAGTAGGGAATTGGAGTGGACGTCTCGACAAGAAAGTAAGTAATGCAATTAATTTAAAGTCTAAAGAAAACTTTTGTAAAATTGATATTACATGAATTTAAAGAAAATAAGCACTACTAGTTAGTTTCCTTTTTTTAAAGGATATTCATAGTCTAAGTTTTCAAGTATGATTAACCTCTTACATAAATTAATTATGTGAGTTTAAATCAAGGTTTATTATGTTCATTTAAACATTTTCTTTATTGATATTGTTTTGGAAAGAGATCATTTTCTTTACTTATTATGTGCATATTCAAGTTATACAATGAATGGATAAGAAAGCTTGCAACAAGTCTAGTATGGATAATAAATATGAAAGGTGTATTGAATATCAATTTAAAAGTAAAGTTTGGCTAAATATTTAAATATAACTTACCAATGCAAGTGGGGCAAAAGGGTCCCCATATATTAAACTGTTTGGTAAGTGGGGCTAAAGGGACTTCTATGTAATTTAATGACGATAATGTCAGGTTTACCTGGGCTCCATTGAATATGTTTATGAATGAGTAGCCAAATCTTTTAATGAGTAAAATTGATATTCAGTATAGATGTAAAAAGAATTTCTAGGTAATGTCAAATGAGAATTTATGAAGTTTGCTCAAGTAGTCTAACTTTATTTATATTTTCAATATTCTGAATTTTATAATCATGCAATTTAAATGTTACTTCAAGTTGCATCACTTATGGAGTCTCACAGCTCACCAGTAGTTTATTATTGGTTGTTGTTACAGGAAAGGGAAAGGAAAAGATGGAAGAAGACTAATCTACAAGTATTTACATTTTATGTTAATGTTTATTCTACATTTGAAGTCTACTTTTGAGGTTAGCAAGCAGTTTACATGTTGTACTTCTTTAAGATTTGTTTGGGCTTCCTTAGTGGTTCTGTAAATGTGTTTATTGAAGTTTTAATTTGGAAGATGCTTCCGTTGATATATAAATGGACTTATGGTTGAATGTTTTATATGAACTTCTAAAAAGAAAAGTTGTATTAAATGTTTTTGAAATGATAAATGATTATGTGATGCATGTTACACTCAATTATACTATTTAGGGGTACTGTGGGGTATTACATAAATCACCATCTAACCTATATTAAATTATCAACTTCTTTCATTGATTGATCTTTCTTCGTGTTTTACTTGATCTAACAATTGAGAGAATGATATCTTCACCAGACTGGACAGGTTTCGTCTCCCCCCTTCCTGTGACACTTTTTCTTAAACAATGGTCAAGCTGGCATGAATAAAACACGCCCGTTGATAATTACCTGATTATTTTATTTTCTGGCATAACTCCTGTCATCAATCTGAGATAGCTCAGTTTTGAAAATTATTATTTCAAAATTGATGGCTTTCACCATATGATATATTCATAGAGGAATGTGTTTCAGATTTTCTGGTCTTAAACAACATTGGTCTTTCACATCAGCATTTTCTAAAATCATATTATTTAAAAAGTTAATATGTCACAAGGAAAAGGCATTCGTATAAAAATTAAGAAATGAAATTCATAATCAAGTAAACACGTTTTGACATTTTACATTAAAAGTATATATATATCTTAAGTTCTTAACTGCACTAGATACATTGTTTAAGAAGAATAATCAGTGTGACTATGAGAAATGAAGATCAATGATACCAAAATAAACTATTAGGATGTGTACCTGCACCACTGTTCTATTTTGCTGTGTATCTCTCTCAAGGACTTGGACTTTGCTCAAAGCCGGTTTCCCTAGTAAAAATTACATAAAGCATGGAAGAAATAAAGATAGGATTTCTACAAGTGTCAAAAAGTAAGTAAAAAGCAAAGGATGGAAGAAACAAAAAAATAAATGATGCATCCTTTTTTTTTTTTTTTTTGATAGAGATACTACGAGTAGTGAACTTTCTGTGAGGACTCCTAGAGCCTCCTGGCCACGTTATAATTTGCATCTGAACTTCTTCAGAAATGAGAGATAAACAACGTGGGAGAAAAAGAGAAGGTGAAGAGAAAGGGAAATAAATAACCAGATGAGGAAGCAACGTATAGCCCTTTGGCCACTCCTGGATATTGCACCACACCGATGGGTTGCTCAATCAAAATCTGCATTATGGAGTTACGAAAGATAATGAATTAAAACATACGCTATTGAATTAAATAGTACAATGTTGATTTTGATATTTTCTGCCAAAAGAAACTCCAAACCAGATTCGAACCAAAATTTTGATGTGCTTAAAAAAAAATTTTAAGGTTTCTTCCCTTCACCTAGGGTTTGTTTGGTACAATAGTAATAATCTGTGCTCACAAAATACACAAACCTTACTCACAGAAATAAGAGTTATTCTATGAATCCATCCATATGCTGATGAAATCATAGAGAAGATGCAGATGCAAAATTTTCTGCACATTTTTCATCTAAATCAAAATTACTTTTAGAACAACTAAGCGAGGAAAAATGGATGGAAGCAAAGGAAGCATAAAGTCATCAAAGAATTAGAATATGTGGCATTGCATGTAAGCTAAATTGGCTGATCATTGATAGTGGATTTATTATGATCTTAAGGCTTTATGCGGAACTTATTTCAGGTTTAGCAAGGATGAAATCAACGACCTCATAGAATTTCTTTCTAGTAATTAAAAAATATATATCTTATTAACTTGCACGGATATGGCCCTTAGGAATCCCTGCTTAGTCTAGCCCTCTTATGAATAATTTTTTGTTTATGATGACGTGACAATAATGTGGTTGGTCCCCTTGACTTGGTTTAGGTAAGTCTTTATTCCGGTGCAGCATTCGAGTAGGTCTTAATAAGAACAACCCAGAGCCAATGCAGCTAGAACAAAACTGGTAAGTCCTACCAAATTGCGGCCAAACCAAAGTTAATGTTCTCCCACACATGATACTTATGAGGCTATGATCACTGCACTTCTATTGAAGATATGGATAAATCATATACATTATTTGTTAAATATCCTTATCATTACAAGCCATATGGTGACTATGTAAACGATTATTCATCCTGTCACACAGAGCCAAACAATTGCATGGGACTTATAGATTGATTTCTTACGGTTGATCTAGATCTGTCTTTTTCTCTCAACTGCATGCAACGTATGTTAGCGTCACTCAAGAGAAATGCAACAAAACTTGCAAGAAATGATAATGTACTAAAGCCTAAGTCGCTTCCTCCACCAACCAAAGAAATAGTTTCGTCTAGTCCTAAAGTCCCACATACCCATGTTTATGATGATATACAATTCATTTGTACTGAACGTGATCTTGTACCTGAGATTTAAGCTTCGTTTGGGACGGTTTTTTTATTACTTCTTAAAGTAGCTTTCTAGTACAAAAGTTAAAATTTATGTACTAAAAAACTACTTTAAGAAGCAGTAAGAATGTCATCCCAAACGAAGCCTTAGTCTAATCTATTGCTAGAGCTTGAGCATAGTCAAATACCCAAGCCTAAGTTTGGCCATTAACCAAGCTTGAGGGCAAGATTGTTCAGCCAGATTCTGCGTCTAATGCTGAACTTGATGCACTGACAAAGATTAAGTATGAGATAGTGCCTGATCAAGAGTTAAAGATTTGCCCAAGCACACTATTGAAACCGATTTGGCCTCTTCTATCATTATGGTCCATATTACCAATACTACCATAACTAGTGTCATGGGACCATTATCTAAGTTGTTAGTCTAATAAGCTTGCATGATACATGGTAATGTCAAACTCCAAAAGCCCTAAAATTATCCATTAATTGATTAGCCATCCCTTAACACATAGGTTTTATATGATGGGTTTCAACTGCATCCATGTCGCCAAAATATAACACTTGTCCACTTCTTGGTGTACTGGAAAGGTTCACAAGCATGTTCCACAACACCACCTCCCAGGACGCAAGAACATCTTATTCTAACTCATTGAGGAAGAGTACTTCACACTTAATGGGAGTTGAAGCAATAAATAACTATCTAATTTTTCATCCAAATAAACATCTCATCATTGCCTTATTTGAATTGATTGTGCAATAAATGAGTTACAAAGTTGCTTTAATTAAAAAGGATCTTTCATGAAGACACATTAAAGAATCTTATGTAGAGAATCTTAATAAAAGATTTGTATTTAGGAAAAATTACTTATGATATTTCATGATTTCTTTCTTATTTATTACTATGTAAGACAATGAAATCATTATCTTATAAATAGAGGAAGCTTTTATATAAAAAAGACATTCATGAATATTATAAACAGTTGTAAGTAAAACTAGACTCCCCCTCTTTCTCTCTCCTCTCAATTTTGGTCTCTCTCACTTCTGAAGTAAAGTCTCTAACCAGATCCTTCTCTCTTGATTAGCTCCTTTCTTATAAAACCCGAAAAATGCCAAATTTAGACCTCGCACGCTTTTCAATGCGCCGCGACCAGATTTAAGTGAATTTTTCAAAGTCGTCGGAATTTGACGAAAATAATTTTATGAAATTCTACGCAAAATTTGGAGCAAATTGGTATATAAAACCTATATTTAATTTTGCTTAATTTGGGAGATAAAAATGTTAGAAATCTCATAATACCTAAAATACCCTTAGTAAGTATTAAAGCCGAGATAGTTCAAGTGAGGGCAAAAGAGAACTTTGGCAAAACCTAACTCCCTAAATTTATGAAGAGGCTGATCGCTCTTCATTTCATCCGCTCATTCGTTCGGCCGAAACCGTAGGGAGAAGGGGCGGACGGGCAAGGCGAAGCAAGGCGTGGGTGAGCGGCCCCGGCGGCCGGGCTTGGGGGAAATCGAAGATGGAGATTCAAGGAGATTATAGTAAGTTTCTAATCAAGTTATTCCTTATTTTTCATGACTTTTTCTTGAAAAAAAAATTTAGGGTTTGGTAAAAAACTTCTCATTTCTTTAGAAGATTTATAGGGAAGGTCTAGAAGATGATCCTAAGCATAGAAATGAAGTTTTTTTCACCAAAAATGTTGAGTTAGAAATTAGGGCTTTTTCATATTATTGAATTTTTAAGAAATTTCTTGAGATGTAATGTTTCAAATGATCATAGTAAGGTTTCTAATAACATAGATTAGGGTTTTTACACAAAATATCATTTTTGTAATTTTAATTTATTTTAAATCCGAAAATTAAGTTAATTATAATTTAGTTTATATTAATCTAATTATTAATTAGGTGAAAGGGGAATGTCGACATGCTTACAGATGGAATTAAAGAAATTATAATTTCCAAAAAAATATGATTTTTAAATAAAACCGAAAATAGAAATGAATTTAAATTATTTTAGGTTAGGGTAAAGAGATTATTGGATTAAAAATGAATTTTTAGAATATATACATGTTTTATGTGTTAAATTAGAGAGAGGGAGAGAGAGATAAAGAGAACCTATGGTAATTTGATAGGAATAGAATAATAACGTTTGAGATGATTAGCGTTAACCTATGAATATTAAATTATTTTTCTTATAGGTGTTTATTTGTTGTGATCTTGAAGGAATGAGAACAACTGTGAAAACAAAATCCCTCGAATCTGTGAGTAAACATATTTCTTTATTATGGTAATTGTATCGTTTCAATTTTTATTGAATTGTTATTGCAAATTTGTTCATTTTACTACATTTCAAATAATTCTATGTTTCATATCTTGCATATTAATTGATTCATCATATTATTGTATAAGGTATATGATAGAGCTTAGTATTATGATATATTATTATGATATGATTGATATATTGAGTGATTGCACGTGCATGTTGAAATGATGGAGCTCACTTACTTATAATAGTAGCTGGGGACGTTGTACTCGTGGACGTTAAAATGGTAAAGGTTGTGGAAAAAGTAAATGGTAAAGGAGTACATTTATGGTACTAAACGGTGGCTCCTGTGACGGTTGTAATATATATGAAATGATAAAGTTATGAATATTGATATAATGAATGTAAAATGAATATGAAAAAATATATATAAAGAATATGAATTTATGATTTATTTGTATGTTTAATGTTATGTTTATAGGAAGTAAAATTTATGATATGTTTAAATGAAAAATGGCATTTAGCATATTACTCCATCTGTCTTGAATTACTGTAGTCTAGAGGCATATTTTACTTACTAAGCTGTGGCTTACTGTTAATTATTCAAAATTTTTCAGGTATAATTATTTTAAATCATAATGAGTAGAAGGGGTGGTAATGTGTATCATAGTAGAGGCGCGCCGGAAGAAATGTATCCACATGAGTCTTAATGATTTTATGTTTATGTGTTTTCGAATTTAATGTTTTAGTGGCTCTTTCAAATATTATGATGATGAATTTAGAGATTGGATATTTTAGTCTACCGTTCGACATCCGTTCCCGCCTCACCTATGCGAGCTTTTCGAACCGGGTCGTGACATTTCTATCTCATATTCTCTCTCCCTCTTTCCAAAGACTCAGCTAAGGAAGAATCCCAATAATCTTTTTTTTTAATCTCATTACGTAAAGAGGAGTTTTCAAAAGCAAAAAATAAAAATTTTAAGCTGCCTCAAATAAAGCCATAATTAGAGGGTTCATTCATCTAAACAGAGATAAGGATTACCCACATTTTTATGAAAAGGAATGCTTGTGCCAACTGGTTAGAAAACAGGGCTTGTCTAGAGATATCTGAATCCACGATCTCTTTATAGGTTTACAAGGTGCACTAACTAACCCTACGTGATGCATCATGTACTGGAAGATTGATTATAATTTTATTTCTTAACTAAAGAAAAGCCCCAAGACAAAACACACTGATAAAGTATAGTACGTTATTAGGACAAGACAAGGATGGTACTAACAAAGGATCACGCAAGTGTTTTACCAATGTCAAAAGCAATCTGAAAACAAAAACTAAATGAAACTTAGGAAACCACGATATCAATTTGTGAATACATGCAACATTTGGTACTAGCAAAGAATTAGGCAGTTAGAAAATAAAGATGAAAATAATAAAAATTGATATTTCCGGATAAAAAGCCAACACGCTGGGGCAAAATCCATGAACCTAGAATGCACCGATGACTGAATTCCTAGAAGATCTTAATTGAAGCTAGGGGAGTAAGTGAGCTGAGTGGCTTGCGGTCCGTCTCGAACTCGACTCGATAACGAGCTCACGAGCAGAGCTTATTGAGCCGCGAGCTTGAGCTCGAGCTTAAACTCGAGCTCGTTTGTTAACCGAGCTTGAGTTCGAGCTTGATGGGCTCGACTCGTGAGCCGGCTCGAATAAGTATTAGGAATTTTTAAATAATTATTATAAATTTGAATGTTTAAAATAATTAATGCATGTAACCTAATAAATGCTAGCTCAATATGTATATATATTAAAATTATGTTTTCAAAGAATAAAAAGCTGCAGCATTAACTTTATTTTTTTGGGGGGAACTGTGGCATTAATTGATAAAGAAAAAAAAGGTCTGCATCCATTAATTAATTCCAGTTTTGAGAAACAACGCAAGCTTCTTCCACATCAACGTTGACGCAAGTCTCCCTCTTCATACCCTTCCCGACGTCGACGTCTTCTTCTTCTTCTTCTTCTTCTTCTTCTTCTTCTTCTTCTTCTTCTTCTTCTCGCTGGATTTTGCATTTTCACGGTAACATTGGATGAAAACAAGCTTCAATCAAGTAATCGAGCCGAGCTCGAGCTTGATATTTATACAACGAGTTGAGTTTGAGCTCATTAAACGAGCTCACTATAAGGTAAATGAGCTCAGCTCGATAGTGTCTCTACTCGACTCAACTTGACTCATTTACACCCCTAATTCAAGCGCAACCTTCACAAAAATTTTCGCAGTGAAGTGCAACTAAGGAACACCTACGCCAGCATACATATAAACAACAGAAGCATAAATGCAAGAAAGTTACCATGACCAGTAGATTCAGTAGGATTATCATCAAAACAAGCATATGACAAGGGATGGGATCATAAGATGAATACTTTGTTCCACCAACACTTTACCTCATCATATTCAAGAATCCCTCTGACCAATGCTCGATAAAACTTTGAAATTCTCCGAGCTTCGCCAAATCCTTGTCCAGGCATTCTGATTCAACAAGTTCAGATCAACAACTACAGATGAAAATCGCTTTTTTTATATACTGAAAAGAAAATATAAGGAAGACTTGGAAAATGAGCTATGGGTGCAACCTTAATCATCTATTTCAGTTTACATTATATTTCCTTAAAAGGCATGCAACATAGATAATGTTAACACACGCTTGACAGCATGGTCATCTTCAGTATTTGCAATGAAAAAATGGACATTCACATGTAACATGTTATAAGTTAAACAGAATTGCAAGATATTCAATATATTTAATAATAATAAAAATAATGTGATAAAACTCCGAAGCATCCATACAAAATGATAGTTTTAGAAATTTGCAAGCCTATCATTTTTCGAACATGGGTTTTAACTAGGTTTTTTGGGCATGCATAAATAAAAACTCATGATGCACTATACATAAAATCAAGGTGAAGACAAAAAGTGGAATGGGAGAGAAACATGGGTGACTTTGCCAAAAGTTAATAGAACATAAAGCACACAATAGAAGCAAATAGAGAATGATTCATAAGGTCAACGTGATTAGATTTTAAAGCATTTCACTTCTCCAAACATCTCAAATTCATAACGATCATGAACCTGTTAAATATTAAATTTCCATTCATCCCACATTTAATTGAAAATTTTTCATAACATCTATTTTCTCTTTTTATTTTCATCAACAATAATCATTAAAAATACTCAAAATTTGAAATAACTCAAATTTAGCTCGACTTAAATTAGCATAAACTAATTTCACATATATTTCAACTTAAATTAGCATAAACTAATTTCACATATATTTCAACTTTCAATAATGAATCAAAATTGATATCTAATCAATTTCAAGTTTAATCTAGATTGCTCAAATAATTTTAACCAAAAGGTAATTCCGTAATGTATATAAATGATATGATAAACTATGAACTTTATAGAATATAAAATATTTAAAGAATAATTATATATGTATACTCTAGATTTTTATACATAACCAAATAAAAAGTTTCGAGTCAATTTGATTTTGAGTCCTCTCAATTGAATTTCAATTTCGAATCAAGTATAAGTTGAATAGAAATCAAAATAATTAAAATTAAATTGATCCAAACTTACTCATATTTAACTTGACATTTTCCAACTAGTAATTACAAACTACAGAATACATAAAATAAGCTCATCTCACAATCTCATTTTATTCAACTTTAAACAAGTATGCAAACCAAAATGATCTTACTTTCAATTTTTGTTATTGCAAGAAACAGTACTTGGTTTTGATATTGACAAATCACTTCTTAACGCATGGTCAATAAAATGGGATGAAATTGGTACGTAATTTCTAACTAAGACAAAACAACCCAAATTATTATATTTGAACTCATTAATTCTAATAATTTAACAACGGATAACTTTTAGCAAGCCAATGATTCTTATTTAACAAATAGATGTCTCAATTATTCTTAACCTTATTTCTTTCAGGTTGCTTTCGAGTTTTAATCTGTACCCATCTTATTTACTGGGCAATAGGGCATTATGCTAGTATCCAAAATAAATGTATGAGAAAGGTATTTAGCAGAATTCCATAAAGATGCAGCAACCACGCACAAACACAAACACAAAAGCGACTGATAGGAAATCCTATAAAAGAATTAAATAAGGTAAATGCATGTTGTTGACCTCTATAATAAATATTCCACAATCAATCAAGTGCATTGAGAGAGGTGAATAACGGATATGTCGTTAGCACGAGCATTGGGATGCCTCAATCACTACCAAAATAGCTCGAAATTTTATTGGATCGTGAAAAAGATCACATCGATGCACTCAGGGCACAAATCTCTGCACACGCACCCAATGCCCTGCCAAAATCCCATCTAAAACCTCCTATAGCCGCCCATCCCAGTGAAAAATGAGGAATATATTATAACAAAAGTAATAAAAATTCCAAAACTAAATACCTATCACTCAGTTAGATCGGTCCTGTTATAGGAGGCGAATAGGATACGCCTCAAACTCCAACCTCCTCCCCTTTTTTGGGGTGGGGTGCAACAACAAGGGACTAGGAGGGAAAATGCAACAGAGGGGCTTTTTTGAGATTTGCATTATTTTTGTATGCTTTAAGTAGTTTATTTTCCTAGGGTTAGGGTTAGGGTTAGATATGTGTTTTCTGAAATTAGAATTTCCTAGGAGATTTGGGATCTAGCTGGTGGCTAGAGATTTAAGAGAGACGGATCTTCCTCTCCAATTGAAGATCCATTAAATCTTATTCGTTTTCTTCCATATTTCATCGATTAAAAAGGTTTTCTCCTAGTATTTCATATCATTCTTCTCAATTAATGTTTGCACTTCACTGAAATTCAATTTCGACCAAGAATTTATTCTATTTTTACAAGCATTACCTATCAAATTGGTATCAGAGCGGTATCCTGGGCTAAAATATAAGACTTACTTGATGATTTCTATTGTGTTCCCTCTCCGATTTGATATTTTTTTGCGGTTTGGAGGCTAGATTCGCATTAAAGGTTCTTTTTTTTTTTTGTATTGGAGCCTAAATCCGAGTACTTATAGTAGGAAGAAAGGTAGAAATGTTGAAAGAAGAGATCAGACAATTGAAGTCTGAAATTTTAAATCTCCAAACTCAATTTTCATATTTCAAAAGTCAAATTTAAGCCATCCACGAGAAGACTGATGGAAAATTTCCCATCCTAGAGGAGATGTTGAAGACGTTGCTCGAGGGTCAACCCAAAACAACGTCTTCGGAGGCAATGAAAGCCGCTGACAACCAAGGAAGTGGAGAAAACACTAATCCAATAATGCAAACCAAGGAAGTGGAGAAAACACTAATCCAATAATGCAAAGGGAAGACAAGAGGTGGAGATTCTGGAGGAAGAAGATATAATGCCTTCCTTAGAGCCTATTGTTAGGGTGGAGCTAGGTAGAGGGAATGGGTAGAGGCGTGAGAAGTCAGGCATGGATGAACGGGTGCTGAATTTGAGAAAAGAGGGAAGGAAATTGAAAGGGGAGGGCTAATTATGATCGAAGGGGTGCTAAATTTGAAATGAGAGAAGTTGATTATGATCGAATAGGAGATAAATTTGAAAGGAGAGGGGCTGAGTAAGATACAAGGGGTGTTGAATTTGAACGTAGATGAAAATTTGACGAAAGGTTTGGGTACGAGCATAGAAGGGATGATCGAGACACTTGGGGGGAACCACCCCCTTGGAGAATCGAAAATTATGGGGGAAGAAAGGGGAACGGTGGAGATCCAAGGGTGAGGAAACTGAATATGCCTATTTTTGAGAAAATGAAAAGGTACTTTATCGCCAATAGATTAATAAAGGAGGTGAGACTGACTACATTCATGATGTGCTTGGAGGGGAAAGCATTGGCATGATACTTGGAGGGATATGGGTGACCCATATGAACTTGGAGGGAGTTTAAGAACTGTTTGTTGGAAAGTTTTCAAACCAGTAGGAGATGGGACTTCTATGAGCAATTATTCACCCTGACGTCAGAAGGGATAGTGGTGGAGTACTATGAGTAGTTTGAGCACTTGACCAGTCGACTGAACCGACTTCCGGAGACTAAACTTGAGGGGAACTTTAGAAAATGGCTCAAACTAAAGATTCGGGTGGCAGCTAGACTAATAAGGCCTTGTGATTTGGGAGAAGCTATAGAGCTAGCCCAGTCAATGGAGGTTCAGAGGCACCTGGAGAGAGGGACTGGAGGCAGCAGCTTAAGAGGTTCGTAAAGGATGACCATCATTTTTTTGGCAGCCAAGGAGCTGACACCGGATACTCTTAGGGAGAAGGAGAAGACTGTATGAAGGGAGACTTAGGGAAAACTTTAAGAAACTCACAGAAGCGGAGTTACAGAAGAAGAGGGCGAATGGGCTCTATTTCAAATGTGAGGAGAGGTATACAGTGGGGCACAGATTTAAGGACTAATTAGGTTCTCACCATTTGTGATGACGAGGAAATTGAGAAGGTAGCCATCTTTCCACCTTGTGAATAAGGTGGGTCTTTGGGAGGGGGTATTATTAAACCGGTCCTATTACAAGAGGCAGACAAGATCGGCCTCAAACTCCCAACCCCCTTTTGGGGTGGGGTCTAGCAGCAATTAGAGAGTAAATTAAGAGGAATTATGAGGGAAAATTCAAAAGAGGGGCTGTTTAGAGATTTGCATGATTTTTTATGCTTTAAGTAAGCTATTTTCCTAGGGTTAGGGTTAGGGTTAGTATGTGTTTGCTGAAATTAGAATTTCCTAAGAGGTTTGGTGATGTAGGCAAAGGGGGGTCAACTCAAGCCCAAATTAAATCAATTTTGGCCTCTCCCGAGTCTTCAAGCTCAAAGAATTTTGAGCTGGAATTTAGCTCATTTATGAGCTGATTTTTAGTTCATTTATTGGACTAGAGATTATCTCATTATTAGCTAAGTTTTAGCTCATATTTATTTTTTATTTAATGCACTTTTATTATAGTTTTTAATGTTTTAAGTTATGGTGTCTCTTGGGTTCCAAAAGGGCTTTTGGAATCCCAAGATTGATGTTTTATTTTCCCATGTGTGGCTCCTTGAATTTCACCATGGCTTTTTGTGCATTTGCCCCCTTGGATTCCGACCGGCTGCTGGTTTTCTGCGCCTGGGCTCTTTCCCGTGGCTGTGGCTCCTTGGTTCCGTGCGGCCTCCTTGTCTCCCACGGTGGCTGCTTCGGTTCCTTGGCTTGGGCTGTTTTTCCGTGAAAAGCATTTAGGTTTCCGCGGTGGCTACTTCGGTTCCTTGGCTTGGGCTGTTTTTCCGTGAAAAGCATTTAGGTTTAATGCTTAGGTTCTTGTGATAATTTATGTTATGTGTCTTTTGGTCTTCCCCTTTCATACATATATATATATGGGGGGTATTGTAATGTTTTAAAAAAGTTGAATGAAATATTATTTTTGGAAAAGCTATAACCTGCGGGTTTGCTTCGGAAATCCTGCTGGCTCTTTCCACCCTTCTTTCTCATCCCCTCCG